TTTTTTTTTTTTTTTTTTTTTGTTTATTTTATTTTCCTTGCCTTTCTTACTGGCCTTAGGAACTAAGTGCTTTTAAGCAGGCCGTATTTTTTTCTATTTTTTTTGGCCGTGACAAATACGTATTTTACGATTATCTATATTGTATCTGTCACGTACTTAATACGTACTATATACAAAGAGGTAAAAACAAAATCCGTTTATTGTTACGATTTAAATGTCGATACCAATTTTTAATGCGGCAGTTACCATACGTCTCATCAACGTATATTTTTTTATCAATGCATAAGCGTTTATGTTGTACGCGATGAATAAATATATTATGTATATTGGGTTCAGTCGGATCAGTATTGTTATATCGTTGTTTTAATAAGTTTGCTGTTTATTATCCGAATGATATAGTATATTGCGCAATTCGTTTTAATATCTTCTTTTACTGATCCGATTTTTTTCTTTCTTTTAAAGCTGTTAAAGCTTTCAGAATTATCGCGTTGAGTTTTAGCAAGGGTTGTTGAATTTGGCTGTAAAAAATAGACTATGTATAATTAGTAATATGTTTATAAAAAGAAAAGCGCACCTCAAGAGGTTGAAGTCTCGCGCCACGGCACGTATATTGTAGTTAGGATATGAGATAATATCTATTCTACATATTTTTTGTAAATAGAAAACATGCGCGACTAACTGAATATATACATAATATTATATACACGAGATATATAATATTATATATATGTATATATACACACACACACACATACACATATAAATATAGGATGTAACGAAGGTGTGGTAGAATATATAGTATTGTAATTTGTAGAATTATAATTATGAGGAAAAAAGCGCAGGATTAAGATTAGAATAATTGCAGATTATGGGCCTTCACACACATCTGTAGTGGACTCTTGTGCTCGGGACGGTCCTCCCACCCTTCTCCAAAGTTAATCCTTTTCCTAAAGCGTTAGGGGATACGATTGTTTGTATATAATATAATTATATTATTGTCCTATCGTCTCTTCATTTATTATTTTTTACCAAGCGTTAAGCGCACTAGTGGCAAAACAGTAATATAGGAAGAGGGAAACTTAAAACCTGGATTGATCCTGTGATGCTTTCGCGTATCGTTACTTAAGTAATTTCTCTGTTTTGTCACGAGAAAATCATCGTGCATCGCTTCAGATCTATATTAGTGAGCTATTTTATTACGTTTTAAAACGATTTTTATGATTGCGTTTCATGCGAGCGATCGTATTCTGAAGGCTATCATTTAATTGTGAGAGTATTCTAGAGAGAGAGAGAGAGAGAGAGAGAATCACACACGCGTTTACGTCACGTGTCGTGAAATATGCAAGAGAGATTGTTTTTATTTAATTCGGTTGGATTCTAATGAAGTATCTCGTTTAATGAGATTCGTTGATAAGAATGTTTTAAGAGGATATTTTACTAAGAAAAATATTTTAAATACGAATGCTCAAGTCTTATTGTGTATATTTACGCGCATACTATGCCAAGATCTGTTTTACACAGGATCTATATAATGGATTTATCTTATCGAATATATATATATCTGTGTGTTTACATAGCTGAGCAATAACGAAAAGAACCTTGCATCAACAAACTGCTTGTACGTCGTAGTTATCACTTTACTGTATACGCACTCTTCGTAAAAATCTTTTTAAAAACGAGATATCATTCAGACACATCATTCTTCGCCTTTAGAAACAGGATCTTAACAGGGTTTGAATATCTCTCGCACTCTAGCCCATCTCAAAGAGTTTAAAATGAAAAAATACTATATTTTGTACTTGCGTAAGCTAGCAAACTACTTTCCAGTATTTATAAGATTCTTGAAAAAATACTTTGATATCTTCTTCCCCCTTTATTTCACATGGTGATGAAATACGTTCCGTGATTTAGCAGCCATGAATGTGACTGTGATCTAGGAAAACAGAAGTAAAGTAAAAGTGGCGGCTACTCTACTGACTATTTCTTCACCACATGACTTTCTTCCTGATCCCTTCCTCTTTATATTTCTTCCTCGATGCTGTATAAACGAATATGCACTAAATCAAGCGCTTCTTTGCACCGTTCTTTTTTATTATTATTATTATTATTATTATTATTATTATTTGCGTTAGACATATTTTTACTATGCTTAGCCACTACTGATTTACCGTAATATTCATTATTCTATTATTTTTTTGTTTAATTTTGAAATATTTTTAAAATTGTTATGTAATTATATATCAGTCAAGATTAATGTTATGGAAAATATACGAAGCATACAAAAGTAAAAAAAAATACCATAGATAGCAGTGGTAAACAGTGACTCTATGTGTATTATCCATATGCAGTAAAAAAAATCTTCACGTCGAACATCAACACACTGTACGCGATGTACATGCATATACATATGTGGGGGTAATGAAGTATAAATATAAATATATAAATACAGATATATATATATGAATATATATGAATATATAAATATATATATACATATAAATGTATAAAAAAATTATTAAACACAGTCGCATATATGACATGGCATATATTATATATGTATTATAGGAAAATGATTATATACTCGGCTGAGGCATTAAAATCTGCACCAATCCAATGAGAAACACAGTTAGTCCGCTTTTTAACCTGAGACTTCGATCGATTAAGCACCCCTTGTTATCCACTCAGTGTCAGTGAAGCAATATATCTCCGGGAGCGTATTTTTAAGTACGAATTGTATCGGCGCATTTGTGTATAGTCAATTCCGTGAACATTTCTGTTGAAGCGACGTACAGCAAGAATCTACATTAACCGATTACAACAATTCTATACGACATATAAGTACAATATCGATCGTATCGTGCACAATGTCGCAGACTTAGAGACAGATCATTTCGGCGGGATCATTCTTTTATACTGTGTATTATTGTAATTGTTTTTTTTACCGTTGTGCCTGTATCGATATCTCGGAACTCACGATGATTGTTTCGGCACACTTTATGCTCAAGAAAAAAAAATGACAAAAATAGCAAAACGCTGAATGCGTTTGTATGCGGCTAAGTAAGCACACCCCGATAGCGATTGGCAGATTTTAACACTGATGCCCTTATATGAGAACCAGTTGTTGGACCAAATTGCCGATACAACGGCCGTTCTGACTTACAAATGCGTTTTACTTTTTCTAAGGAGCGATTTGAGCGAGAGGGAGAGAGAGTGAAAGCAGAAAGTGAGATAAGAAAAATTATTCGAACGGCACTGTGACATTTACGTCGTCAAAATGCGATCGCATCGATTGTGCACTTCCCAAAATCGAAAAGGAACAAAAAGCATTTCGCCCGTGACTATACGATGCAAACGATCAGATGAGTTTCTTCCGCTCAATGAAATACATTACGCAAGAGAAAGAGAGAGAGAGAGAGAGAGAGAGAGAGAGAGAGAGAGAGAAGAAAAGGCTCGTAATTCCCGACGAGTGCTCGGAAATATTTAAAAGTTCGATTATATTTATTTAGTCTGAGAATCTTCCATTAAAGTCAAAGACCGATTATTTTTCTATCAAGATCCTTGCATACTCGTTTCACATGAATTTCGAAAGTTCCACGATTTCCTCGAGCAATCGTATAAATGTCACATTGTCAACTTTCTTGAATATTTCCGTATCTCACATTCTCTACGTATTATTTCGTCGAGACATGTCTGTGTCTCTGCTCAGTAATAAGTCATAGTATTATGGCCGCAATATGTGGAATCACGCGAAAAATCTTCATATTATTTCGGCGAAGTACGTTGCTGCTAACGACGATAATTTTACTACGTGAAGTGTATTATATGAAAAAGTCTACTCGTAACGATATTATGTAAAGGCTATATTTTATTATTAAGATGGAAAGCAGTGTGGTAGATTATCTCGTGTCTGGCCAAAGTATTATTACGCTGATAACATATGTGTTACGATCGGTTTTTATAAATATAGAGTTGGCATGTGCTTTTCTTCCGGTTAAACGTGTAATCACCGCAGAGAAAGCTCTGTAACTCGTTGAACGAAGCGCATAAAAAGTAATCTTTTTTTTTCCAATATACACTGAAGTGCATTGTTCTTGGAGGAGATATATCTTAAGGGCCTCTGTACATTAGTCTTAACGATGCCGATAAGTTGTAAAGAAAGGAAAAAGAAAAACAATGATGATAAAAAAAGGGGGGAAAATTCTTAGTACATTACCGATCACAAGTTTTCAGGAAGCAGATATATAGATAACGGAATATTATATACGGGGAAATATTCTTCATCAGATGTATATTACAGAATCATATATATTATATACTGATGTCTGATTATAAAATATTGAACAAGTGTTATCAAATAAAATGTTGTAATCTGTGTTGACAATCGCCGATGTTCTAAGCTCGACACGACCGTTCGCGGATACATGCCTTCTTCGGTGGAAAAGTGTTTTATCACGAGCACAGGTGCGTTCGGGGACAAAAATTGTCGAGGGTCGACAAAGATCGATGTAATTTTCGTCTCCGGACCCAGCCAGAAGAGATCTCTCCTTGTTGCTCCCGAGTCGAGGAGAAAATAAGAGAGAGAGAGAGAGAAAGAAAGATAGGGATATTTGCGAGACGCGTGAAGAAATCTCGATGTGTTGAGAGAGAAGTCGGATGTGTATATATTTTCTTAAATCGTTATTACAGCCTCGATCCGAGCGGATCGCGATGGAATATAAAATAAAAAAAGGAAAGAAATGCAGTTTAATAAATAAGATCTGTAGATGGACACAGAGTTTTCATGTTCATTATCGCCACTATTTTATGCGGTCACGCGCTTCACTTGGATGCGTTTTCCTTTTGCTTCTTCTGCTTCTTTATCTCGATCTCGTCGATCGGTGCCGACTTCACGAACGGAATCTCGCTCTCATATTCAAAGGGCATGTATTCCGCGAGAATTTTCGGCATCTTGACGCCAGTTTCTGTTTGATGGACCTCCAGAATCGCGCATATTACGCGTGTTATGGCGCACATCGTCGCATTCAACATGTGAACATAATCCGTTGTAGTGTTCATTTTCTTCGTTTGACCGTATCTATAGATCAAATGATTCTAATAAGTCCGTTGCATCGAGTCATGAAAGTAACGCCAGTTGCGTCTGCCTGATATGTTAATTTTACTCACCGAACTAACAACCTCCTAGCTTGGTAGTCCAAGCAATTACTACACGATACGAGTTCGCGGAATGCGCCGGAACCAGGGAACCAGGCTTCCAGGTCTAGTTTCTTGGAGGCCGCATGATTCAATGCACCCGACACAATATTGACTATGCGATAAGGAATATCTAAGGCCTGGTAGAACTCCTCTGCGTTGGAAATCATTTCTTCCATCATCTTCCATGACTTGTTGTCATAAGGTGAGGTGAGGCAAAACTGCTCGACCTACAAATGAAGAAATAGAAGCGTGATTATAGCGACCAGATTCACTGCTTTATAATAATGCGCGGATAAGTCTCGTTTAAATCTAGATACCTTCTCGAACTGATGTACCCTAAAAATACCCCTAGTATCTCGTCCGTGCGAACCGACTTCTTGTCTAAAGCAAGTTGAGATACCAGCATACCTAATCGGTAAAGCGTTCTCAGCTATCCACTCGCCTCTATGGAAAGCAGCTATCGGCTGCTCGGAAGTAGCGATTAAGTATTTCTCCTCCAGTTCCTTGTCTTCGTTACGTTCGCTACCTTTACCGATAACCTGGCATAACAAAACAAATAGTAGTTACAATTATCCCAAGTAATTTGTTATTTAAAGCTCTTTATACCTTAGTGGCCGTGTCGGATTTGTGATATCAGAAGCAAATAATGATATGCTGATGAAAGTTGCATGCCATTTTTAAATAAATATAGACAAAAAAGCATTTGAGATTTTGCTTGAGCACACTTGTAACATTGTCCGAAAAATATCTCTTTCCTTTGATGATCAATAAATAGTCGTATAACAAATGGCAAAATAAGACACCTGAAATGATGAAATGAGTTTATTTTGTGCGCATGCTTCATTTCACCGTTTATTATACGATTATTTACTGGTCGTCAAAGGAAAGGAATAGTTCTCGGAAAATTTTGCTCAAGCGATCTTAAGTGTTCTTTTATACATATTTATCTTCATTTAGAAATGGCACGCAACTTTTGTCAGAGTATCACATTCCTTGTTTGACGTGACAAATTCAACATGACTACGACGAAATATAAGCCTTAAGATATAAATTCGAAAAAATTTACACTCACTGATACTTTTGATATTAATACAAGATATCTGAAAGTGTCTCATAAACTCGTATACATATAGATTAGATCAAATTAAATACAAAATGTTACCATTACTCTACCATTTTACAATCATGTAAAATTTTAAGTCATTAAAGAAAATCAGTAAATAATTATGCGCGATACAGCGGATGAGCAGTGATAGTGACGTTTGCAGTTATGTGCTTATAGATTAAACGGATGCTGAAGCTGAAAATTTTACTGACAGAACACTGACATTTTCCTACAAAGTTTACGTCGTATTGGTTACACAGAATTACAAATGCTTTTACACAATGAAAGTACGTGCAAAAATAAATAGGAGCATCGCTCGATATGTGACGAAAACGAACAAAAAATTTTTAATGTAAAATCTCAAACTGTCAGTTGGCGTATCCAACTGTAATATTTGCTTAATCCAAAAGTTCCGCAGCTTGTACATATCGAATGTGGATGCTTCAAACAGAAAAATTTTGAAAAACATTACTTTCGCATCTCTATTTGGAAGCTTAAGAATATCGAAAAGGTTTGCAGAAAGATTTCTACATATATATGGTTAGGTTTTCCGTTGAATATGGTAAAACAAAGCAACACACATTCATGTAAGTTCTGTATATACAAGAAATACGAAAATGATAGCGTGATTATGTTAGTAATGATAGTCTCTGCATTATCGACATTGTTCGAGTTCGTCATCGACTCCAGCATGACGAACTCGCTAAGCGTCGATAACGTAGAGGCGATCGCCAAATAGGCGCTGACATAATGCTGCTATTTTCTTTTTTTCATGTATGCATCATTTCTACATATAGATATATGAATACAAGTGTGTGTGCTACGTTGTCATTTCAATTTTCTTACACATAGACGTTACGTAAATATGAATGCCACGTTGCCGATATTCGCATTCTCTCCGAAATAGGCTTTCGCTGCTTTTCTGATGAATTCTTCAAACCGCCTGTGTATTGGGTGAATCAAAGAAAGAGTTTTTTTAGAGAAGTTCTACGCATAAATGTAGTTTACGAATATTGTTTTGAAGAATATGTTATCTAATATGTGAGCTTTCTATATAATTTGCAATGGAAATTTTAGATATTATTTTAGTTATGCACTGAGCAATGTTTCACTATTTTTGACATGGTGAAAATACGTGCAAAAATAAAGCGGAGCATTCCTCAGTATGAGAGGAAAACGATAAGGAATGATTACTATCATGACACCGAATCTTTCTGTAAAGATTAGTCTTTTCTACATGCGCCGAGTTAAAAACCTTTTTGCATGGTGAAAGTACGTGCGAAAATGAAGCGGGGCATTCCTCAATATGAGAGGAAAACGATAAGAGACAGTTATTATCATGACACTGAATCTTTCTGCACAGATTAGTTCTCTCTACATGCGTAGAAAGAAGTAATCTTTGCAGAAGAATTCGATAATTTTGTTATGATAGCATTTTCTTATCGTTTTCCTCTCATATAGAGGAATGCTCCGCTTTATTTTTGCACGTATTTTCACCATGTCAAAAGGTTTTTGATTTAATACAATCAGCACGACGAAAGTTTTGCAAGGGTATCGATATCACGTCAACAAAATTTTCCTACAAATATTACTTTATATTGACTTGACCCAATTAAAATGCTTTTGTATGGTGAAAATACATGCAAAAATGAAATAGAGCATTCCTCACTCAGGGATGAAAACGATGTAAAACTATTGTTATCGTGACACTGATTTCCTTTTGCAAAAATTACAGCGCAATTACTGCTCCAATTTATATGATAAAATTAGGTGCGAATATATAGTGAAATATTGAATTTTAATTTCCATTGAAAATTATATAGAAACCTCACATATTAGATAGCATGTATTCTTCAAAACAATATTCGTAAATTACTCTAATAACATATTTCTCGAAAAAACTCTTTGGTGCACCCACACTGAGAGAAAAATGTATGATATTTGGAACTATAATGGCATAGTAAAAAGATTATAGTTAGGAATATAATTTTTATAGTAAATGTTACCATAATATTTACAATATAAGCATAGTATAACTGACCCGTGTAAAATTTTTACCAAGAATTAAAATTATTTGAAATAAAAAATGTAGTAATAAAGTGGCAAATATTTAATGGTAAGAGAAATTAACTATTTTATATAGTCAATGCAATTGGAATATTTGGCAAATATAGGTACATATAACTATATTCTATATAGTTATACTATATAACTATATAGAACTTAACTATATAACTATACAACTAACTTAACTATATAACTATATTCCCAAAAAGGTGCTTTATCATATATATAGAATAATAAAATGGTGACTATAAATCTGTGTTTATTCTACTATATCTTCATGTTTAGATAAACTATAAATATATGTTTGAGGCCAAAACGAACTATAAAATATAGTGAGATTATAGTTATTCCAATTATTTTTTTCTCTCAGTGCAGTACATAAGCGGTTTGAAGAATTCATCAGAAAAGCAGCGAAAGGCTCTTGGAGAGAATATAAATATCGGCCACGTGATATTCACATTTACGTACCGTCTATATGTAAGAAAATTGAAATGACAACATATATATATATATATATATATATATATATATATATATATATACAATCTGCTAAAATCAGTAAATACAATAGATCTTTTTAAGATCTGAAACAGTTTTTTGTAAAACATATTTTTCGAGATATTTCACC